CCTCGCCTTCCGGCGGCCGCGCGGCGCGGGGAGCCGGCTCTGACAGGAGCAGGCGGAGCCAGGCGCCCGCGGAGACCTCGCAGGGCTCCACCGCCCAGCATTGTACGGGGCTGGGGATCAAGGTCCCATGAGCCAGAGTCCGGCCCCAAGCAGCCCCCGGGGAGGCCTGAGAGCAGAGCGAACGCCTGTCGCCTGCAAGGCCTGGGTTCCAGCAGACACCCGACCTCCCCAGTGGAGAGAGGAACCCCACCAGGAGGCCTCGGGCACCTGACATCTCTCCAGGGTCAGCCCAGCCGCTCCCTCCCTGTGACTGCCGGACCCCAGGGGGCCTGACTGCTCTCTGCACCCCAGGCCTTTTGCAGCCTCCCCTCTCCAGGGCTGGGCGGGGCTGACTTTGGAGCAGAAAGGCCAGGCAACAGGGACCCCTGCAGGCACTGGGAGGGGGACTGGCCAGAGGCTGCCCACCCGCTCAGCACAGGCGCCAGCGTGCCGGAGATGCCTGCTGGGCGTCGCCCTTCCTGGGCACTGGGGACACACAGCACCGGGGAGCGGGGATTCGGGTCAGCTCGGAGCTGGTGGGGGCACTACGCGTGGGCCGTGTCATTGTGTGCACGGGGCACTGTGTGCAGACGGGGGTGTCCAGAAAGAGGGCCCGGGGCGGCGATGCTTGGGCCAGCAGGCGTCCACCAGAGGGAGAAGGGGCCCCACGAGGCCGCTTGGGCAGCACAAGTCGGGCGGCTTGTTGGCGGGGCTGGAGAGGTGGGCGTGGGAGTGCACAGAAGGGGCCCCTCCGAGAGGTGCCGGGGTTGAGGTGAGGAAGGGGGCTTCCGGGGAACTCCCAGGTATCAGCAGCAGTTTGCCGTGGGCCGACAGATACACCTAAGGACACGCTGGGCTTGAGGGGGCGGGGATGCAGCGGTGGGTGTGTGCTGTGGGCGGGGTTGGGGCCCCGAGGACCACCCTGCAGCTCCCACGGTGGGGGCAGCGGCCCCGAGCTGAGAGGGGAGAGCGCTAGGAGAAGGGCGGCCCGCCCTGCTTTCTCTCAGCCTGGGCCCCAACCTGCCCCACTTCTTGTGGGGCAGTACCTGCCTGGTACTTCTTAAGTGAGCACGGAAGCCATTTTTAAAGCCCTTTCCCCAGGAGGGAGGGTGTTGAAAGAAGAGTCAGCTGACCGGAGATTTATTTGCATCTCAAAGGGTGTCTGTTCAGGACCTTACCGGGCAGACCTGCCCACTCCCAGCCCAGCCCCACCCACTTGCTCCCTGCGGGTTTCCCCGCCTCCTTTCTGATGTCTGGAAGGCCCGGGGAACTTCCAGACACCCAGACTAGAATGCAGATTCCTTCAGAGGGGCCTAATCAGCCCAGGGATCCCGGGTCCTGACCCCGACATGCCGCCTCCTCCTTCCTGAGCTGGTGTTCCCTCCTCCAGGCCCCCTCCTGGGCCAGCCCTGTGCCGGCGGGTCAGCGAGGCTGGCAGATCCTGGAGAGAACAGCCCCAGACAGGCAGGGCCCCGGCAGTTGCCCACTGAGAGCTGCCCCCCGACTGAGGGAAAACTGGGCCAGGAGCCTCTCCCTAGGTCTCCGGACTTTAGCCCTAAAGCCTTCGTTCCCTGGCTGCAGGCACACAGCCGCTGCGGGGCCTGCCCGGTACCCGGCCCTTGGCCTGGCCTGCCCAGGGTGCTGGCAGAGTGACCGGGGCTGGGTAGTCTGGCCAGATGGGCAGGGTGGTGGCATGCAGGGGGACAGGAGGCCGTCCAGCGCCTCACTAGGGTGGACTCGGGTGGCCACGAGCTGGCAGGAGGGCAGCAGAGGTGCTCCGGGCAGTGGCTGCTCAGTGACCCCTGGAGGTCCTGTGCTGGTTCTTGGAGGAGCCCCGGGATTCACCCCGCGGTAGCCTGGCCCTCACTCCCTGACTCCCTGTCGGCCCCCCAGTCTCTCAGGGTGACCCGTCAACACCCCAGCTCAGCGTCCCTCCTACTGCCTTCACCCACGGGAGAGCCCGCGAGCCCCCGGCACCGCGGAAGTAATTTTGCCTTTGTCACCCTTTGTCTCTCCCTTGAGGTGGGAGACTCCCAGAGGCCTCCCTGTGACCGGAAGGGGTGCTGTCACTCCTTTTGTGTTCTGCGTTTGCCCGGCCAGGTGACTGGTGTCCTCCCCCCAGCCCCTCTCCGGGGCTGCTCCACTTGCTTTCCCGGAGCTCTCCTCGGCGGCCTGGCAGGGGTGTCTCTTGCAGCTCAGGCCAGCTCTCCCAAAGCCAGGTGCTTCTGAGATGGAACCGAGAGTGCCTGGTCACAGGGCAACCGCAGGCCAGAGCCATGGGTCAGAAACCACGGTCTCTCCAGAGCCAGTGCCCAGAGCGCAAGGATGTGAGCCGGGGTGGGCCCTGGTGCTCGGCCCAGGCCATCTCATGGCGCGTCTGGGGCCCGGCCGTTGCTGGGAGGGAGGGGACTAGGGCCCGGATGCGGGCGTTGATTTCACTAAGCACCGGCTGAGGGGTCTGGAAGGATTCGCTGCTCCCATCCTCCTCCCCACTGCCACCGTCACCACCTCCATCACCACCATCGTCATCACCAACATCATCACCACCACCACCATGACCGTCACCACCACCACCAGCACAGTTCTCCCCTGTAGCTGGGCCATCTTCTGTGCAGCATCTGCCCCCTACTGGTATTGAGCCTGGGCCAGTGGAGATGCTGAACGGCCCTGGTAGGGGGTCTGGTGCCCCCAAGAGGGCTCTCCCATAACACCGCCCACCCCATAACCTGTGCCCTCCTGTGTCCTTGCCCAAGTGCTAGCTGAGGCCTGGAGGATTCAGTGCCCCAGGTCCCCCTGACCCTAACCCAGCCCAGGGCTGGGGGCACAGGGAGCCCAGGGCTGGGGGGCTCAGGGCTGGGGGTGGGGCAGCTCTTTACCCCCAGGGTTTGGAAAGGCCTAGAGTCGCTTCCTACTTGCTTGCCGCCACTCCACCCCCACCCCGGGAAGAAATGGAGGCTGATGGTTGTATTCCGGGGCGGGAGCTTCTCCTCTGAACCCTGCTCCCCTTGTGCCTCAGGCTGCCAGGAGCCCACCATCAGCCGTCCTTGGCCCGAAGAGAACATGCACTGGGACGTGCAGGCTGGAAACACGTGGCAACACGCAGCCCTGAGCCCCGTGAGGTCTGCTCCTCCCCTCCTGAGCATTGGGCCCCCTGCCCCATGGGGATGGCACAGACACCGAGGGGGCAGAGGGGGTGACGTACTGCCGGTGCCTGAGGACACACCGCTACCCCCCTTCCGCCCAGCAAGAGGGCACCCCGCCCCCGCTAACAGGCAAGGCATCCCCGGGCCAGGATGTGTGTCCATGTGGGGTCCGCACCCCACCCCAGGACCACCTGCGTTCCCCTGGGACTCCACCTCCACCGACGGGGCCCAGGGCCCAGGGCCCACGTCCCAGCCACACCTCTGTGCCACATCCTTCTGAGACGTGGACAGGCCATAGCGGTCACTCCCCTGGGCTGGCTGGTGGCTGGTGCGTGGGGATCGGATGGCGCCGCCGTGGGCTTGACCGTCCACGGGCAGCTTGCGGGAAGGGACGGGGCCGTAGCCACTGACGGGGCCAGACCCTCCTGTCATGATACTCGTTTTGGGCCCAGGACTCAGGAATCCAAGCTCCTGGACCAGGTACCAGTCAGGACGCAGGCGTCTGGTGGGAGTGGGAGGATGCCCTGTGGGGCTGTGGCCACACCCTGGCCGGTGGCAGGTCGGCTG